CTATTCCCCTCTGAGTTTTAGGAAAGAGCCTCGGGCTTCTGGTCTGCCAGGGCAGCCAGTGGCAGGGTGGGCTGGTGTGAGGATGGAAAGTGCAGGGAATGAGGGGTCTCTGTGCTTGCCGGCTATGGACTGCTTCCCGTGCTTCAGGACACAGCCTCTGCTGGTAGATGTGCTCCCAGGTGTGTTTGATGCTTTGTTGTCTGTTTTTAGGGATTGTTTTGTTTCAAAATGCTGCAAGCTTTATTCACCTACTGAGTTTTTTCCAGCTTTGCATGTAGTTTTTCTCTAAAATCTGGAGGGTTGTTTGTCTGTGGGCTCCAGCTTGCTCAGAGGCAGGGTGGCTTGGCTGGGGTTCCTGCTCTGGTTTGCAGTGTCACTGAGGTGTAGGGGAAAGGATCCTCAAGGGAAAATTGGACAAGCCAGGAGCTCTGCAGAGGGCAGCTGAGAAAGCTTCCCCAAGTGAAGAAGTCCTTTAAAGTCTTTCCTAACCTCTTCCTGGACTTGCTGTGTGCTGTAGTGTCTCAATAGGAATGAAAGTGGAGCTCAGCACTGGCCCGGAGCTCTCTTTTAGATCTGTAGCAGGGGAAAGCTTGAGCTTTTTTTTTGCCAGTAAAAGCATGTGTTTGCAGGAGTCCTCCTTCCCACCTCCCCCTGTGCTCCTTCTCTGAGCTGGAACTGGGGCGTCTCCCCCTTATGCTGCATGCAGCCCCTGTGCTGGATGAAAGCTGTGGACTGCCTTAGGTGCCCCTCTCTCAACCTTGCCCCTCCAAACCCTGTGTTTCTTCCAAAACATTGCCTGCTGTCCCAGTGACAGCCTCCCAGGCCTCCTTGCCTCTCCATGCTGGCAACTAGCCCTTCCCAGAGCGCGAGAGGACGAGGCACTTGCTCGGAGGGGTTTGCAATCTAGGTTAGGTAGGAAACGATGCCGAGAGTGGTGACATCAGGGAAGAGGGTGGGAGGCAGCTTGCAGATGACGAGACTATGAGGTTGCTTCTCCGTGCAAGGTACGCGTTGCATTAGTAATGTGTTTGTAGCAAATAACGCTGGGCTAGCATGGGAATGTGGGTCACTGCTGGCAGAACTGTTGAAGGAAGAGGGAGCTGCTTGTGCTGTGCTGGGAAGAAATCGTATGTTACTGAGGGCTGTTTTTTTGAGGGGGGAGATTTAGCTGCAGTAACTGCTCCAACTTGTAAGTAGTAGCACTGTGTGAGTGGGAGCCTGCTGCCTGGGGGATGCCTCTGGCCCAGGCGTTGGGGTGAAGTGTTCTTTGAGGGGTGTGTGTGGGATGCAGAGGTTTGTTCCTGGTGTGTAATAGTCACATCATATCAGGAAACTCCTAGATTTGCTTGCTGATGCTCTCTGTGGCCCTGGCCGTGCCTGGAGCACTCCTGCTGCCCCAGCAGGCACAAGGAGGGGTGCAGCTGGGCATGTATAACTAAGGATTCCAGTGTATTTTCGTGACCTATTTCTGATTCTGTTGTTCAGTGTGTGTGCGCTCAGGAAGTCTTTGTGCTTTAGGGGGAGTAGGGTTTGTTAGTGATAAGGAAAAGTCCGTTTGACTGCTCAGGAGATTAAAACTAGAAACTAACCTGGCTTTGAAGGTGGACTCAGGCTGGGGAAGGTGGCTCTGAGCCTGAATAGAAAGTGATACGCAATGGGGATATATATATCCTAAAAATGTGCGTGGTACTTCAGTGCAGAAGGAGAGTCTTGCCTTAGAGCCAGTACGTTTAATGAAATAGCTTTGTTGGAAAACGCTGCCCTTGGTCAGCAGGGACTTGTTGAGTAGCTTCACTTGCAGCAAAGAAGCAGTGGAGCAGAATGGGGCTGGTGGAGGGAAGCATGAATGGGCTGCCAGGCTGTGGCCCTGAAAGAGCTCTGCAGCCTTTGCTCAGCAGCGATGCTCCTGCCTAGCTGCAGGCTGTGGAGACCTTGCTAAAGCAGCCTTGTCCAAACCCCTCGGAGCAAGTCAGGAACTTGTCCTGCATCCTGTGCTGCCAGCAAATACTCCAAGCCAGATGGATATGTCTCCATGGCTTGCCCATGTGCTCCCCAAGATGCCCAAGCTGTGACGTGCCTACCTGTGCCTGAAGGGAGTCTTATTTTCCCCTGAGTCTGGGATCAGAACAGCGCCTATGGCAGCAAGCTGACCCTGGGGCCAAAACCAACCTTGTGAGGGTTCAGATTTGGTGGGTGGGGCTGATGTCCCTCTGTTGTGACCACGGTATCTGGCTGGTCTGTCAAGCAGCCTGTGGGACAGATGCAGCCCCGAGGCAGGTGTTGGATGACCTTCAGTAGACCTCAGTGAGCCAGGGAGAGCCAGGCTGTCAGGGAAATAAGGACTATGCCCAGTGGGAGGAGATGGGGATTGATCCGTCTGGGTGCTGCCTGCTTGCTGTCCCTAACTGGTGGGTGCCTGCTGGGACGAGCTCTCCTACCTGCTGCTGGGCAAAGTATCCAACAAGGTCAGGGTCTCAGACCAGCCTGATGTTGTAAGCTCACCCACTGAATGGTTTGTGGGTTTTTCTTTAAATTCCTGCTTGCTCCTCCCTGTCTGTTCAGACTCTAAAACCACAGCCTGTTTTCTGGCTCCTCATCAATTCTTCCCCTGGGTCCCAGAAGTGCTGGTGGTGCCTAGTTCGGTGGCTCTCTGGAGTGTGCAGGTCCCTCCATCTGGCAGATCCTAAGACCTGGTGCAGGAAGGGCTCTGTAAATGGGCTTGTGTTTACCTCAAAACTCGTTGTCCTACAAACACCTTGGCTGGGGAGATGGGCTTTGGCAGCTCGTGCTGCCAAGTCCTTGGTCTGTAGAAGAGCTATTCCAGGATGAAAACTTGCTTGTGTCTACAAAGGCATCTTTTTTGGTGTGTGTAAGTTTAAGTTTCTGTGAATGTTTTGATTCTTCCTCTTTCCTTCCAGCAGCAAAGCTAGGGCTGAGCTAAGGAGTAAAACTGAGTCTTGGAATATTTTTGTTATCTACTCCTAAGCAAAACAAGGAACTCCTCCATACAGGTTGCACTTCTCAGGCTTTTCTCTTGCTCAGCCTGTGCTGGGAGGAGCAGGCTCAGGACTTTGCCTCTGTGAAGGGAGAGGTAATGATGATGAGTGGTGGCAACCGCCTGTGAGGCTAAGCAGCAGGGATGCTCCGTGGTGGGAATCCCAGCTTCTGGCACTGACTGCGTGTGTCCTTGGGCAAGTCACTTGCTGGTGTGTGTGTGCTGGCCTAACTCCTGCAGGGCCCTGAAAGTTTTCATTCATGTCCCTAATTACTTGCAGAGCCCTGAGTGAAAGGGGCAGTGGATGTGCCAAGTGCATGATGTATCCCAGCACAACATCATCCTTGTGAGCACTTTCCTTGTTCCTCCTGGGGACCCAGGGGTGGCTCAGGGCAGCTTGATGGTGGTGCTTTAGCCCAAGTCCCCTCTGCCATAGGAGAGAATGACTGTTTTGTGGCACATCTCCCTGTCCTGTGAGCTATTGAGGGCTCCTGGCTGGGGTGGGAGGGGAGCTGTCCTGGTTCCTATAATTTCCTGGTTATTTTGGTATGTGGGTGGAAGGGGGAGGAGGGTGGCTGTGGAGAGAAGAGCAAGGTCAGTGAAGAACAAACATGCCTCTGTGCACTTGTGATCGCGCCGCCAGCTAATCGGCTTCGGTGCTCCAACTTTCCTCACAGAACTCATCAAGCACAGCCGCGAGAGGATAGGACAAACCATCAAGGCCTCTGGCTCCAGGCTCTGCTCGTAGTGAGTATGAAAGCCTCCCAGTGGGATGAGAGCCCTTTAAAAGCTCAGCCTGATAAACCCCTGCGCCGGCTCGGCGGTGAATGGAGCTGGCTGGCACCAGCCAGATGTGGGCAGTCCC